TAAAATTTCACCACTTTTGATATTAGATAAAACTAAAATTTGTAATTCAATAAACACTATTCAATATATAGGAGTTTTCCATATCAATGGTCTTACGATTTCGTTGGTTTGACGAGAGACTCAAAATTGACACAAAAGGCAATAAATTGCTTGTATTAGAGGGAGGAAAGTATCATTTGGATCGCATATGGAGTCCATCTCTATATATACCAAACAATGAATTCACAGACATTTTCCAAGACCACGACTTGAGACCAGTTTTAATAAGGATTTACTCCAATGGAGAGGTTTTGGTCAGTAAAAAGTAAGTTTACTTTTAATATCATTGTATATTATTACAAAAAAAGACAATAATGTAAATTAATTTGTATTTTATTAGGATATTATTGACAGGTTTCTGTCACATGGATTATAGATTATATCCATTGGATAAGCAAACGTGTGATTTGGAGATTGAGTCGAGTATTAATATGTTTTAAAAGTTATTAAAACATGTGTTTAATAGTTGTAATAATTTTTAGTAAACTTATCGACCGAACAGTTACGGCTTCAATGGTCTGACTTCGAGGCGATCACAACTAATATAAACTTTAATTGGGATGGATTTGAAATGAATAATTATTATTTAATGAAAACAGCAGTCGATTATCACAAGACGGGAACTTACAGTAAAATAATGGCCAAATTTGAGATGAGCCGAGAGTTCCGGCCCTTTCTCTTTGAGATCTATATCCCAACCGTTTTGATAGTCATTTCATCGTTTGCCTCGTTTTGGATTGAAATCCCAGCGGCGCCGGCGAGAGTGACACTCGGCACGACCACCTTGTTCACTTTAGTTACCAGTGCTAAATCAGTGAGCAATGAGTTGCCACCAGTGCCCTACATCGATGCCGTAGCCATTTGGATACTTATGTGCATTTGTAATGCATTTTGTTTATATTTTAATGTTATTATCTATATAAAATATTCTGTTTCGCTATCTATTAATTGATGACTTGAATTGAATTTATAGTTTTCATATTCGCATCGCTGGTCGAGTACTCGACCGTAAACTTCATCTTTCATAGCGATAAACGAAAGAAATGCAAACAACATATGAAACAAAAAAGTGAAAACAATATTAACGTAAATCATTTACGACGAGTCAATTCAACGAATTCATTCAATTCACGCAAAACTGATGATAGCTTTCGCCTAAAGGTATTCAATAGGTTTTACCTATAAATTAGTGTTGAAAACATTGTATTTCAATCTGATTGTGATCCCAATAGCCTCCATTTCCAGACAGACAACGTATCCGTAAATCCATTTCAGCCGACAATTTACTCCTTCACACCAATAAAAATGACTTTAAAATAGATATGGATTTAAATAACAGGCAAACAAAACCAAAATGTGTATCAAATGTTATAAAGTCAAGTCAACGTCAAAAGAGTCCGCAAGAAATTGCCAATAATATTGACCGCAAGTGTCGTCTAATATTTCCCATTACTTTTATAGCAATTAACATCATTTATTGGACATCATTAACACTTCTTTCAAACAAATAATCAATTTATTTAATGCATAATTTGTTTGCAAAGAACTGTAAAATTTTACTAAATGTTTTTTAAACAATTTATGAGTATTAAGTAAATGTTTATTTATAACGGTTTATAAAATCTTTTCAAACGCAACTAAATTTACATTTGCTCTAACAATTCAATAGTAAGAGCAAAACCAGAGGTATATTTATGCTTTGAGGCCAACACTTTGGAATCATTAGTATTGATGATTACCTTCAGATCAGACCATACTTTCGGATTCAGCTCTTTATCGCATTTAGCAACTGATTCAAAGTTAGAGCACGTGTACGACACCGAGTCCTCCGCCTATCAATTCAAATAAAACAAAAATATATATACAAACCAAATATAAAGGCAAACCCAAAGTCTCAAACTTACAATTTCATTGATCACTTCATCCCAATAGTCTTTGGCGTCGTCTCCGCACTGGGTTTTCATGTTCTGTCGAATGCAGTCCTGGAATGAGTGGAAAATACAACAGCCGGCGGGTATGCGATCGGCCAGATCTACGTTCACCAGAGTCTCCATCATTACGGCATTCTTCTCAGCGCAGATGTGCATCGGTTCCATCTTCTGCTTATCCGTCAGACACGACACGTGTTTCAGAAACTCTTTGCGATCGTCCGGATTGTCGCACCGTTTCATTAAATGCTTGTCCGCGTTTCCCACCGCCATCTTAATGGCCGCCTGAACGAAACCCTTTAGACAATTATTGGTAAAGTCCTGAAGACATTTAATGCTATCGAGAATTGTGCTGTATTTGTGTGGTTTTGGTTAATAAAAATGATATAATTTTTAGTTATTGTGTGATATTTGAGGGGAATTAGTATAAAGTTATCAATACATACCTGCAATGTGTGTCCATTTCGGCTTCACTGGTGGGTATCAATACATTACGGTTACCAAAAAACGATCCCTTCATTCCTGGATTCAATTTTCATTTAATTTTATTATTTTTAATTATTTTTGAAGCAATTTTGATGAATTCATACCACAGGCATCGCCTTCCGAGAGATCACAGCCGGAGAATACATGCGAAACACAATGAACTAAGAAAACTAGTTTTCAAAACAAGAAAAATATAAATTAATTGTTTTCAACAATTAGTGAATAATTAATAATTTGTTAATAAAATTTAATTACTCACAAAATACAATCAATTTATTTTCATACATTGTATGTATAATTTTTATTTTTGAAAATATTTATCAAATTTTAAATCACAAAATGCAAAGATGTGTCAATTAAGTGAGCATTAGTTGTGGCGATGAGTCTGTGTTTTATAAGAGGTTTCACACATCAATGCATCTCAATATTTATCATTAAATGATTAGCAAAAAAGTAAAATTTTAAATTGATTTTCACACGCATTAATGATTTTATAATCACTTTCAAGATTTTAAATTTCGTTTATAATTCACAACAACTTTCAAACTAATTATATATTTACTGATCAAAACTCTATTAATGGTCTTTATTTTGTTTTATTTATTCAAATGAATTTGATTGACGGAAATTCAGACAATCCTTTTAGAAAAGTCACATAATTTTGTATTTCCTTTACGAGTCAATTATATGCGATATAAATTAACTTAAGATTTTATAACTCATTTTTTAGTAAACCATTAATTGTCTTTATATGTAATTTAAAACTGTTTTCATTAAAACTACAATTTTAATCAGAAACTAAACATTTAAATACACATATGGTTTTTTAGTTAAAACAAATCGTTTTAACAATGAAATTGAATTTTATTGATTTTTAATTTATTAAAAAATAATTCGTATAAAAGATAATTAAAATTAAAACAATAACATTAAACAAAATTAAAATTAACATTTTATATATTTAATATAACAAATTGTGCCCATTATTTAGTGCGTTAGTTCAGAAATTATTAATTAACCATAAATTAAAACAAAAGGTTAGATATAATCAAAGATTAAGCAAAATTGATGAGAGATTATGCCAACCAATGAATGAATCAATTTATTCAAACATTTCCATTAACTCCATGGCTGTCGAGATCTCAGACTTGAATTTATGTCTTTGTGCGAGAATGGAGGCGTCATCGGTGGCCGCAACGTCTTTGATCATCTGCCATACCTTGGCGTCCATACCAGAGTCACATTTGGCCAAATTGGGGAAGTTGGAGCAGGCAAACTGCATATTCTCTTCCACCTAGATTACGTATAGCAATAAGATTACAAATATTAACCATGTAATAAATACAAAACTCATGATGAATTAATATGGATACAAATCACATACGAGTTCGTTCCAGGAGTCGTCCCAATAACTGGCGGTGTCTTCGCTGCAGATGGCCTTAAACTTCTGTCGGAGACAGTCCTGCGAGAGATGAGTGATACAGCAGAGAGAGGCGATGCGATCGCCTTTTGGCACTT